AAATCAAATAAAAAAGTAATTTATTTTGAATTTAACTTCTTTTTTGTTACTCAAAGAGACTTTTTTCGGTCCAAATGTGAAATCAATAAAAGATTATCTAATATTTGTTTAAAATTTATTTCCACAGACTTTGCCTTTACGGCTGACCACCGACTGTAACCCTAATGTCTTAATTATATATTTATTTTAATTTAGTTAACAAATTATATTTATGTTATTATAATATCGTGTATTTGACGCCAAAAGATGTTAATTTTCAAATTAAATTCAGGAAAAAAATTAATTAACTTTTATTTAGCAAAATGTTTACATTTTGTCGCAAACATTATATAATTGTGTTAATGTGTTGCTCACAGCTTATAAAATAGTACCGACAAAAAACAAATTTTGTTTTGTATAAAATTACATACATTTTAACATCAAATTACAGATTATGTTAAGACTGGCAGACATTCGGATAAAATAGTGTTTTTAATTTAACGCAATTTCTCTATGGATTTAGAAAACATAAAATTATATTTTTTGCGACAGATTTTTTAATTAAATTTGAATTCATTACGACTTATGTTAAAAGATTTATAAACTATTTTAAAATCTATTTAAGAAATTGCGCAAAAATATATATAATTTCTCAAATTCATGGATTAGTGCGAAAGTTATATAAAACCTAAACATAAGGACACAATTGAAAAGTTTGAATCGTGAGATATTTTGAAAGTCAAAAGTTTTAATGTTATTTTAAAGAGCATTTAGAGTGAAAAATACAAAAAGAAAAGTTTGATTTTGTGGAGACTTACGGATAGATTTGCTGAATAAATCTAATTTATGTCCTAAAGTAACAAAATATACGGCATATCATATCGATATACAGACCGATCGCATAATATCTGACAGATTTGTCGGACATAACGTTTGGACATAAAGAATATGCCCTTTGGGTGTAAGTAATGGATAACACATTTTTTGCTCGTCTTATATAAAACCAAAAATATAAAAAGTAAATAAATTTCAATAGTCTTACAAATAAACGGACATTTGATTTGTAAAACATTTTGTTTCAATTTTATTTAGTATAAATCTGTAAAATTGACAACAGAATAGTTGTACATGTATTTGATGCAAATAAAATTAGTCCATAGGGTTAACATTATAAGAATAGCATTTGTTGAGAAGATGGTTGATTCTCATAAATTAAATATTTTTATTTAATAAGGTTAAAATTATATTTCAAATTAGTAATTATCAATTTGTCAATTAAGTATATTGAGTAAACCTTCCAATTTAATGAATACATGTAACGACAATTCATGAAATAACCATAATCATTATTATATATTTTAAATATAAATGTATAATAGTTATATTTATATAAATTACAGCTTTTAATTAGTGTATTGTAAGCAATGAATTAATTATGTGATGTAATGAATGGATATATTGACTATATTATATGCTCGTTAAATATTAAACCATTGAACCATGTTTATTCATTGAGGTAATAAAATTAATACAAAGTAATTTAACCAAGGCGAATTTATTATTCAAAGAAAACAATTTTAAAACATAATTATAATGAACATTTTAGCATGTATGCACTTAATTCTATGCTTCAAATATTAACTGAAAATATAACAGTAAATAGAATATAAAAAAGTTTTTTTTTGTAAATTAACTCCGATATAGAGAAATGTTGGCATAATTTTCTATTAAAATATTTTTTATTACAAAGAAAACCAATAAAATATTCATTTAATAAGTGCTTAAAGTAGGAAACGCCTGATTCTATGGCACTAAAACAATACATACTATTTTCATGTATTTTATATTCTTTTGTCTTTATAAACAATATTTTATATTTATTATTGTATATATTAATGGAAACAAAATTTATTAAAACAGTATAAAATAAATTTCATAATAAATATCATAAAACAAACAGCTCTCTCTCTCTCTCTCTCTCTCTCTCTCTCTCTCTTTAAAAACAAATATTGATTAATATACAAATATTAAACTAAAACAAAAATTAATCTTCAATTTATTCTGTATATGTTTATGAATTGGTGATCAAATATTTTTTATTTAATTTTAATTTGTACTTATATTTACTGTATTACACTGTTATACTCTGTATTTACTAACATTGCATATATTTGTTTATAGATTATGTTTTATAAAATATTGAGAATTCATTATTTTGTAGACTAAAATAAAGCAAAACAACAATTGTAAGAATCACTAACAACTCTAAATGCAAAAAGGTTTTTAAAAGGGTTTAAACATTACGAAATTGTCCATTATTTAAAGTACATGGTAAATGATTATTTTATTTATTTTATTCTTGGCAAAATACTAAATACCAAGCAGATTAAACATGCAAACTAGTTATTTCAACTTAAATACAATAAGCTTATTACACAAAAGTTTACACATGTTTAACTTTATAGGTACGAAATACAGTTCTTGGTGAACATAACCCGAGAAGTGCCCTATAAGTACGCGGTTGTGTTGTTCGGCTATATTATGCCGTTTCTACTTATCATCACAATAATCGCCAACACATTAATTGTGATAGTGTTGGCACAAACCCATATGCGAACGCCCACTAATCTGGTGTTGTTGGCGATGGCCATCGCCGACCTGTTAACGCTACTATTCCCGGCACCATGGTACTTTTACATGTACACATTCGGCAACCATGATAAGATCCTATACCCTCCGAGTGCCTGTTATGCCTACCATATAATGATTGAAGTGTTGCCCGCGTTCTTCCACACGGCGTCCATTTGGTTAACACTACTCCTCGCCGGCCAGAGGTTTGACATGAATTTTATGCCTGTTATTGTTGTGCTGTTTTACTTTTTACCCTCATTTTATTGTTTATTTGTTATGTAACGCAATATCTATCCAAAAATAATTGACCGGAATCTGGTTTAATTAGTGTAGGTTTTTTGTATTTGTCAAAAACACACGTAACTGTTAATTGAATGCCAACACCATATTGTTTAATAAGAATTTTAGATTAATTTAAATTTTATTTGAGGCGAAAATGACATGAATTGAAATTAAAATACAGTATATACTAAAGAGCTGTATATTTTTGCCAATAAAATATCAATAAATTAAATCCAAATTAAACTATAAAATAAATGTGATAATAATTTGTGAGACAATACTATTGTTTGACACAAAATGACCTTTTCTTCTCAAATAAAAAGTTAATAAAATTCCTGATTTGATGAGTTGTACAGGAATTTTGTTGTCATCTCTCCGTCTAGCAAAACATTTTTACCATTGCTTTCAAATAGTAATCTAATGTTTGGCCTCTTATGGGAAAAACAGATACACATTATGTTAGACAATGGCTCACAAAATATACCATTTATTACGAGACCTTTTCGTCGGATTATTTGTGAACTTTTCTTTGCAGACAAAGAGCACTATTTTTGGCTAATTTGTTGACATTATTTAGTCTACAATTCATTTATAATTCAATACATTAAATTAAAGATAAATTTATAAACATTATTGACAAAACACAATTATATTATACAGTACGCTTCTAACATGTTAAATTAGCCAAAAACTTATGTTAAATTTCCTTTCTTTAAATACATTTTATAATGAATTTTATAAGTTATTAAAATTTGTAATTAATAATTAGTGGTAACTTTAACTAGGTTTTCAATAAACTATAACAAATATTTACATTTAAGCATAAATAAACCTATATATCATGTTAGTTATATAAATATCTATCAACATGTGTTATATAAGCTTATTTGTGGCCAAAATTACTCAAAGTAGAGCACATCATAAACAATACATTTATAAATCTATATTTACCATCATATAAATAAGAAAGTATCGCAAGTGTTATAACTAATCCTATTATCGACTAATAAGAATATATGATATATTATATCAACAATGTTTGCATTCTGTGTCAGGAATTGTATACAAAATGTCAATAAATTCTCATTAATATTGGGCCAGAATTTGTCTAAACATGTCATCTATTATTCCTATTGTCAAACCATAAGTCAAACCTTTATTTTGCACTCCAAAAACACTGTTGAGATAATGATGTTGTTTCCCGACACAGGTATATCTATGTGTGCCATTTGACAACATCGCGCACGTGGTGTACAGTTCCCCGCGTATGCAAAGCAATGGTATTCATATTTATTATGGCTTTCTGTCATCAAAGCACCCGATTTGTGGACAGAGAGTTCACGTCCGTTAACTTCCTCTGGAATGACACCCCGCGGACGGGCTGTCAGTTTGAGACCGCAAAATGGGTCAGTATTTTCACACATAGATCATTCATTTACACTCATTTATAAGCCATGGCTAAAGGGAAATAACAAAATATTTTTCAAAAACCATAACGAGATACGGCTTATATAATAAAAATTAATAAACAAAATTAAATCATGATTTGTTTGTTTAATCTACAGGTAAACGAGACATTAGGCGAAGACACGTATTACATACTATACTATGGGTTTCGCATAGTGTTCGTACACATCGGTCCCTGTGCTCTACTAGTGTTGTTAAACCTCTCGCTGTTTCGGGCGCTGAGGAAAGCGCAACGAAAACGGGAGAAACTGTTTAACGAGAACCGAAAGTCTGAGTGCATTAAACTGCGGGACTCGAACTCGACGACCATAATGCTAATAGTGATCGTCACCGTATTCCTGATGCTGGAGATACCGTTGGCGGTGACAACGCTGTTGCACGTCATGCAAAACGCGTTGGCCATCGTTATAGC